TGAGTTTGTCACCGGGGATGACGAGATAGCGGCCCGGATCGCGAGCCATTTTGGCGAACTCTTCGGCCAACTCCTTGAACGACGGTCGGGACTCGGCGTCCAACATCCAGCATTTGATCATGATCATATACACGTCGATCGTACAAATGGATGGTTGCGGTAGACGTTCGCCCTTTTCCAGAAGGTCGGGCACATCCCGTGCCGTTACGTTCTTATAGGGCCGGTCGCCATATGTTAACAGTTCCCACGCTATAGAGGGTACGAAATACAGGTAAATATGGTAAATGAGATCAGATGTAGGGTTTGGCAAAAGGGTTACAAAGTTTGAAGGTTACATCAGGTGTGCTATCAATAGCTGCAGGCATTTAAAAAACCTCCACATTATATAAAGGCATATATTCGTATAAAAGTGGGAATCATTTGGACGCTTACCGGTGACACCAAAGCTCCAGACGTCGCTCTTATGTGTGAATATCCGGTGTTGAATGCACTCGAGTGCCAACCATTTGATGGGCATTTTCCCACCGGCGGCCTTATACTCGTCCTCATCGATCTCCAAGAGTTTTGCTAAACCAAAATCAGTGATTTTCACACAACCGGGTGTTTGGAGTAACACGTTTCGGAGCGCGAGGTCTCTGTGAACCATACGCTTCTCCTCCAGATATGCCATTCCTCTGGCTATTTGTGTGCACCAATTGAGTAGTGGTTTGGAACCGATCTTATCCTTATTGTTTCGCACGTAATCCAGAAGACATCCCAATGGCATGAGTTGCGTGACGAGCATCAGCTCCGATGTCATACAGACGGCCAACAGTTTGAGTAGATTCGGGTGATCCACACTCGCCATGATATACGCCTCCTCTAAGAACTCTAACAATCACAACCCAACTCAGGGAAGAGAGTCGTGAAACTATCGCTGGCCATAAAAGTGCAAGAGCGGGAGGCCATGGGTTTGTGGGAATATCTGTCACGGTTTCCGCGGCTGCGGCACTTACGGAGCCTTTCGGAGCTCTGCCTCCTTTACGATCCGTAATTGAGCTAAATTTGGTTTCACATTCGATGGCTTAAGAGGTTCGTTGTCATCGAATCCACTCATTCTCATTGTTAACTTCATTGTGTTTTCTTTAGTTCGCGCCCTTTGGAGCCATTGGTAGCTGAATATGGCTAGAAATACGCCAAACAGGACAACACATCCGGCACTCCCACCAATGATTACAGTCCACGGATCCTCTTCAGTGTTGACACCATAAGCGGCAATATTTGGGTCTTTGTCAGAACAATAGGGGTCTTCGTTGTTGTCTTCAAACACTTTGTATGGTCTTTCTGTGGGACACGAAGCCGTGCAATTGAATACCCGTTTGTCGTCTCCGTTATAAACCCGATAATTACGACAAGCGATACAATTACTGGTCGTCGGACCGTAACATTTGCGACACTCGTCCGCGCATTTGACACACTTGTGGTTCGCTTCGTCGGCGTAATGATCGCGAGGGCACTGGTCTTCGCACTGTTCGCCAGAGCTGTACCGCAAACACTCGCAAACCGACACATGAATGCCGAAAGCGGTGCAGTTTTTGCATCGTTGGTGACATTTACGGCACACAGACTTTCCTGTCAATGACTTGAGAGCTCCCTCTTCTTGTGGGCCGATATATTCGTGATAGAAGCCGTCCGGACACGACTCGTCCGCTTTGAGACACTGTTCGACAACATTCGGGTCATACATACTGACGATCGCCTTCTCGCACGACTTGCAGCCGCCTTCGCCTAACTTATTGTGAGAACCGGTACAGCCCTGGACACAGTTCTCGTGACACGGCTTACACTCGCCGTTCTGACCAAACTTAGAGACAGGGCAGTCATTTACACAATAGGGTCCATCCCTAACATGTCTGCATTGGGAGCAATTGCCAGCCCCGGGACCGAAGCATTCGCCTAAACACTCTTCGTGACAGTGTTTGCAGATTTGATTCCCCGCGTCATAAATGCTAAGGAATTTTTAATTATGTTATTCAATGAGTATTACTAATAGTGACAGATCTGTCATATTTGAACAGTCATTGCATTCGCAATACTAACAGAGCATTAGTTTTATATTAAAGTAATAATTAGTTTTGATGGAAGAGAGGCTTTAATAGAAAATCCAGTGACTGAAGAGAGAGAGAGAGAGAGAGAGAGAGAGAGAGAGTTGGTCTCTTACCCCAAACTCGTATTACAACTTTGAGTGCATGTTTCTCCCAATCTGTATGAACGGCATGACAGGCATTCATCTGGTCCGGGACCCCAACAGCCATCACTACCACATTGCGAGTGGCAAACCAGTCCTTTCTTCCCTATGTATGGCATCACAGAAAAACAGGTATTGTAGGGAATGGTATGTTAAATACCTCTTTCATCATAACTTACGGCACTTGTCTTCTTCGCCATTGCTCTGAAGGAGCATATTATGAGCGCTCGATCGCATCACTTTCTTCCAATCAATACTACTCGCAAAACACAGGTCTTTGTTCTCCAGAATGGCTACACTTCCCGATCGCACTTTCTTTAGGGACCGCAGACTCAATGACTGTAGAGATGTCTTAACAATATAGAGAGCGGCGAAGTATTCGGTCAGTTGTCGGCCACCGATTATATCCAGGTTTTTAAAGTAGGACAGGTTTTTGAAGTCTTGATGAGAGGCTTGAATGCTCACAAATCCGGTCACTTCTCGGAGTGTATTAAACACATCGAGTTTGTTTGGATGCATACGCGGGTAATGCGGACCAAACGTGAAGTTTGCGTAAACTTCTTGGAAACCGTTGAACGATGTGTCGAGAATAGTGATGGAGCCCTCAATTATAGTACAGCCTTTAAATGAGTCAATATTTCCCGCGTGGACCACATCCACGCCCTGACAGTTCTTAGGACACGGGCCGTCACAGGGAACACATTCACCGTTGAATGCCTTCTTGTTTGGCGGACACGAGCGCACACACGCGCCGTTGTCTTTGAGTAGATGATCAGGGCAGTTCTTCACACACGTCGCTCCGTAGGCGTACTTCCCTTCGGGATTGCTTTCCCAGGAATATGTGGACGGATTGTATCTCATCATTGGTGGACACTCTTGTTTGCAGACGCCGTCGTCATAGAAGTTACGGCAGGCCTTCATATTTGAGACAATAATAAACCAATTATTTTACGATATTTAGTAAAACATGTTTTAGTTTTAGAAGTTTTATGAGAATAAAAGTTATATAAGTTATAGTTATATAATATAAGACATACGAGACAATCGCTCTGTTTAGGACCAGTACAACCACCCGCGCAAAACAGATGACAACACTCCCTAGGGTTGGGTCCGAAACATCGCCCCTGATGACATTGGGGCGAGCAATTGATCTTGGAGAACTTCTGGCAATTGTGCGATCCTTCGCCCCAACAGCCCTCGTCGCACGACTCATGACATGGCGGACCTAAACATGCATTTCATTGATTCAATTAATCCAATTCGAGATTCACATGAATAAAATGTTGGCATCAAATTGGCTTACATTCGCGTTCTGGTTGAGTGAAATTGTATACATAAATAGTCTTAGCCTTAGAACCCGTTAGGATCTCATCCCAATTGACTGTCCGGATGTGACACAGATTGTAGTTATTGAAAAAGCCAACGCTTCCCGACAATATGTCTGCACATTGAATATCAATTAATTGTCACAATTGACGAGATTATGGGTATTTCAATGGCAAACGAATGGCACAAACCTCTGAGTGCAGGCGTTTCCAGGTTTTCCATTTTGCTTAGCGTTACCATTAGTGCAAACTCTTCGTCGCGAACATTGAGTTTGAATAAAGTGCGACCTCTTATGATCTGAAGGCTCGGAAGTACTATCCGTTTGACGTCCACATGAGATATGAGTACATAACCCGTCACTTCGCGAATGTATTGCAAAAAGTTGAGGTCCAGGTTCTTGTCCTGAAGCCATGTCAACTCCAGGTTCCCGTCAACATATGTACAGTTCGTATACCTATCCCTCAGGTTCTGGAAATGGTGTTCCCGATTGGAGGGCACAGACATACGGCCATTGGTTCCGATGCATACTATTTGGACAATACAAGTGAATTAGTATCAAATGTCATATAATTTGTGATAAGAAATCAATGTATTCGTCAACATATTTAGGCGCCTGTCCTATGCATAGCGTTTATTTGGCACTCAATTCACATTTAAGGCACACAAGTAGTGAAAGAAGAAAAAGTTTATAACTTATGTAAAAACTTTTTATACGATTCGTGTTTTGCCACAAATATATTCAACACAAATGTTTGCAAATAAAGTTATTTTGAGTTAAAATTTAATAATTTTTGCTCAAATCGAAGATTAATTGTAATGAAAACAATGAAATAAATAGCTTTCAAAACAAAGTTTAAGTGTTTTGCGTCAATACATGGCATATGATATATAATATTGAAATAACTTTAGTTTTGTAGACTAAATAAATATACAGAAATGGCATAACGTATACATATAGAAGACACGCATATATAATATATAATAACTTATATTATATAAGGAGTACTGAATTTAGAGTAGGAATTAAGAAAATGACAAACTTTTGCCTTTTTTGATGTGAATATCTTTTTGCGATCCGCTTCTGACAAGAATGCAGTTTACATTTAATACAATTAATGTAATGATTATTAGCACACAATTGATCACAAATGAACTGAATTTAATCCGAGTTCTCATTTTGAGTCGATATGAGTCGCAAGTCTGTGACCATTATTTCCAAATTGTTTGATTTCTGGTCGTCTCTAAAACACACCACTGTTTTTGGCACTTAATTGTATAGCAAAGAGAACTTTGGCCTCAACTTCAAGTCAAGTCAGACTCCAATCTCTGCAACACTACTACGAGAGGAGAGGAGAGTTGTGTTCTAACACTGAATACCAGTACTTCTCATACAGTGTTCTCCTGTTCTCACACAAAGCAATCGGCACAACAACTGCACACAACTGCCCAAAATGGTAGCGCAACCTGTTTGCTAGGTTTGTGGCAATTGGCACAACATCTTAACAGCCAATACCAGTCACTTACTCAATAGATATCAGATCTCTTATGGGCACATAAGCACACCATTCAATACGATCGCAAAACCTGCAAAACATGGATTACATGCCATAGTCTGTGCTGAGAAGAGAGTGAACTGAGGAGAAGGTCTCATAAACTCTCCCAACAACTCTCTTCCAGAACTGAGAAAAGTTTGTCAGTTTCTCTCAAACACAACAAAACTTTGAAGACAGAGATTTTTTATATATTTCTCTCAAAAGTCTCATAAAAATTCAATGCCTTTGAAATAACGTTTTTTTCGCTTTTAATAAACCAATCAATTAAAATGAAGATCTCATTTGAGTCACGCGTTTAATAAATGAACACAAAATCTGGGCTTATTTTTATGTCATTTAATTTACTTTTCTTCACAAATTAGTTTTCATTTCGAGACAAATAATTTTTAGTTCAGATTTTTTCTTTATTCCCATTTTGCGTACAAAACCTTTTTTGCAAACTATTTCTCTTTTGAATCGCAAAACAAATAATAAGAGCTAACAAAATATATCTCCAATTGAATGCAATTCTAGTTTTATTTGAGATATGATTTCCAGAAATAAAGAGTCGTTTGAGACGAGCGATGATAACAAACATTTACAGCATTTAAGAAGTTTTGCAAAAACTTTGAACGCAAGACATCTACAGGTATTTATTGAGGGATTAACTTTGCAGGGAATGTCAGATACAGTGCAGGTGTGATTGCTTACCATTGGCGCACTCACTCCCAGCTATTCTTGCATCTATGCCCGGGCTCTGGCTCTCACTCTGGCTCTGCTCTCCTCGCTATCGTCTCTCTGGACTCTCTCGCTCTCCATAGCCCTCTCTCTCTCTGGCTCTCTCTCAATGCCATTGGGCTAATGACTTGCTATCAAAAGGTTTCTGAGAAATTCCTTATATTCGTTATATGTATTCCTTATTACAAATCAAATATACGTGTGTTTAGTGTTTACCAAAAGAGGAGAGCATTTCTTGACTTTCGTTTGCAGTCCGAAAGTCGGGAGAAAAGATTAAATCCGGTTCTCCCGTAAAGACTGATAAAACAGAGTAAACCTTTACTGAGAGATTGATCACGAAATGTAACTTTTTAGCAGATATTGCATTGAATTTGGTTTGATTTTTCATTTTATTATTAAGTAAGTGATCTGTAGTGCAAAATACAGGAGGAATTGAGAGGAATATTGGCCCCTCTCTCTCACCTTTCACATGCCAGCCCCACAACAGCCCCACAATCTATAATAGCATAGTATGAGATGCACTGCAATTGCAATTGGTTTGCATTTTTGTGCAAATCGTGAGTCTCTCATCTTTCATGTATTGAACACATGAGTTGTGTTTTTCTTAATTACATTACATTATGTGACATAAGGAGCAATAAATTGAACTCAAATCCAATACCCGATGCTATAGTTCTATGGGTTTCGTGTCTTAGCGCTCATTTCGATAACTGCCTGACGCTCTCACTCTTGTAAACACTCGGAGCCAACAAAAACAAAATCTCATTTATAATAAATTATGCCTTAAGAGCCCACTTCTGCCCAAGACTTTCATTTCGCACATTTTTTAATCACTTTTCAATGATTTGTCTGCAAAACTGACTGCGAGTTTGTAATTATAATAAATGCCAACGAATTCTAAATATTATAAAAACTTATATTGAAAATCCATTAAATATATAGAAGTTTTGTTTGTTTATTACATTTTATGCAAACTATTAATATTGCAAACATTATTGTGTTTTTCTGTGTTTCATAGAAAATATTCAAAATTTAAAAAACTTTTTTAGAGATTAAAAGAAAATAATGTTAAGGAAAGTCATGAAAACAAAATTACCTCAAATTCAAGTTTAAAAATATTTGGATCTAATTTTAAGGCAATTAATCTATTTTCTCATCGATTTTACATGCATTTCTAAATTCAACCCTAAGTTATGCTTTTAATCTAAATTATTGTTAAAAATTTATGTAACAAATGTTAAAAAGACATAAATTGTTAATCGATTTAATGATAAAAATTAATTTTATTTATCTCTACATAAAAAACAGCATAAAAAAGTTTAAAAATTGATAAAAACAAGAAATAGAGGGGACAGTAGTTCTGCAAAATTGACTGAAACCTCTCATAAAATTGCAAACTTTAGAAAAGTTGTCCCGAGAGAGAGAGAGAGAGACTTGAATTTGTATTAAATATAAAGCTCAAAAACCAGTGCTATAACATTATTACATGTTTAAATCATTGAAAAGTGATTAAAAAATGTGCGAAATGAATGTCTTGGGCAGAAGTGGGCTCTTAAGGCATAATTTATTATAAATGAGATTTTGTTTTTGTTGGCTCCGAGTGTTTACAAGAGAGAGAGAGAGAGAGAGACTTGAATTTGTATTAAATATAAAGCGATGCATTCAAGTGAATGACTTTCAAATACATTTATTGGGATTTTGAAGACATAAGCTTAAAATGACAAGTTTTTCGGCGAAGATTACTTACTGGCCTTTGAAAGCAAAAGTGAATGTTTGGTTTGTTTGGTTACCCCTTAAGACTTAAGTAAAAGCAAATTTTAAAAGAATTTTTCTGAGCTATAAAGCAATTAATGTTATTTAAAGCAACGAACAGAACAACAAGAAGAAGAAAAAGATGAAGAAAAAAGTAAATTAAAAGTTTTAAAATTTTTTGAACAAATCATTTATTAGTTTTATCCTTAAATTTGAGATCCGAGTATAAAATAAAAAGTAATATAAAAAACATGTAATAATGTTATAGCACTGGTTTTTGAGCATAATTTGTGAGACATATTAATATATTCTTCAGTAGCCATTATAGGCTGAGCTGTTTAAACGTTTTTTCTTCAACTACTAATGAGAGGTCCATAACATTCCTGTCTTATTATAATAAATTGTAAAATACAATCGTGTCGTCATTAATCGAGACACCTTAAGGCCAGAGGTATAGGCGCTTATTATAGCCAAACATATATTTTTCGCCTAACTTTATGCCTCCAGAAAAGGGTTGAAAAGCTTTTCTTTTGCCCAAACATATGAATACAAAAATTTGTAATTTTAGGCAAAAATATGTTAACGAAAAGATTGATTTGAAAAGTTTGAAAATTACTTTTCCATTTAATTATAAAACTGTGTTTAAATTATTTTCTTGTAAAATATGTATTTAAGATAAATACTTCTCTTAATTAAATAATTAATAAATTCTTGTTTATAATCCCTTATAAAGAGAACCTAATATTCAACTAATTTATAAACTAATCATTAATTTTGAATCAAATTCTCATAAAGAGATCTAAATTTCATATAATATACAGCAAACAACAATTTAATTCAAAACATATGTAATCTTAATTACATATGATATGTTTGAATGAAATTTATATTAAATTAATTGCATTTAATTAAATATTGAATTTCAGCACAAAATTAAATATAATTAAAGCTGATTTGCAAACAAATAGTGAATCAAATCTCTATATAATTTAATAATTAAAAAATGTTTTCAAAACAAAATTAACGTTAAAATTAAGTTTAATTATTTGAAAGAAGTCTTAAATCTTTTTACATAAGAACTTTTAAGAGAAGAGTTGAAAAGATAAAAGTTTTGACACCATTTCCTAATAATGTCAAAATCTATTATGTTTTGTGTTTTTGTTTTTCCAGTAATAATTGTCACAAATTTAAACACTCATTCATTTGAATACATTAGGGATTGAAGAATAGAAAAGAAGGAATGGAAAGGGAATACAAATGCAAACCAAACATATCTTTTTGTGAAAAGAAAAATCCATTTCAATCCCAAATGCAGACAAACACAGCGCCTAAAACCTCAGAGCATAGGCCATGTATGCGCTGCTAATGCAATGGGTATTCAAATTCCTTTGCCTGCCTTCCCCTCACACTTGACAGGCATTGATAGAGCGATAGGTATGCAGTGTTGCTATAGTGAAGGCCTCAGTCTGTGGGGGCCGACACTATTGCGCCTCTCTGTAACTC